AGAGGGGTCGAAGCCCTTCTCAAACAACCACAAGTGTGTGGTAAAGAAAAGCTAGTTACTTACTTCTCAAAAAAACTCAATGAAGCGCAGAAGAAGAAAAAAGCTATTTACCTGGAATGTTTGGTAATTAAGGAAGCTGTGAAATACTGGCAATTTTAGTTAATAAGTAAAAAGTTTATAGTATACACGGACCATCAATCGTTGGAAAATCTTAATTTAACAGCGCGTACAGATGGAGAATTGGGAGAAATGACTTTGTATTTATCGCAATACGATTTTTCAATAAAATATTCTCTTGGAAAAACCAATCTTGAAGCAGACTGCAGGAATCTTGTGTTAGATCCAAATGAAAATACAGAGGATGTATTAAAGGTTGTGAATTTCATTAGCATAGAAGAAATAAAAAAAAGATCAAAAGAAAAATGAAGAAATTAAAACCAAAAAGGATGAACTTCTTGTTGAAAACGGAATATATTATAAAAAAATTAGGAAAAACAAGAAAATAATATTATCAGAAGAATGTAGTATCAATTTTATAAAAGAAATGACATACGCAGAATAAAATGAGTAAACTTTATACAGCGAAAATTTTATCAAAAAACATACAAGAAATATGCAAGAATTGTGATACTTGCATAAAAAACAAGTTGAGAAGGAAGGGAAATTTTGGTATGATGTCTCAATTAGGTCCAGCTACCAGCCCGTTTGAGATAGTCTCCATAGACACTATAGGTGGTTTTGGAGGGAGAAGATCAATGAAAAAATACATCCATCTATTGGTCGACCATTTTACCAGATATGCATATATTTTAACGTCTAAAACCCAAAGTGCATCATATTTTATTAAATTGTTAAAAAACACTCCAGACTTGAACGAAATTGGTATAAAAAATATAGCAATAGTCTTTACAGCTGTGAATTCAGCTTTTTCTAACAGACTCAACGAAAGACTAATAAAATTAGATGCAAGATCAATACACATGGAGAAAAAAAACCGGCATGGACGACGATCGCTCAGGAGTGCACCAAAATATATAACGAAGTCAAGCATACATCGACAGGACTTGCACCAAGATATTTATTAAAAGGAGAGGATGTTCGAATACTGCCTATGGAATTAAAAAACAATATAGATTTAATTTGGAAGATCGCAAATTAACATTTGAAAAATCTATTCAATCTCATAAATACAATGAAAAAGTTTTCAATAAAAATAGAAAGAAATACGATTTTAATATCTAATAGAGTATGAGAAACGTATTTATTAAAAAATTTACTTTGAAACAAACAAAGTGAATGTAAATAGCTGAGTCCGTTCCAAATAATACAAATCATTAATGATAATAACATCAAAATAAACAAGAAAACAAAAAACAACGATACCACAATAGTCAATAATGAACAAATCAAACCATACAAATGTATCTCTTTTACAGATACGCAAGCCTAGATATCGAAACAAAAGAACTTCCAAATATCGGAGTATATTTTCACCCAAAAGGACAATCATTAATATCCGAGACCCCTTATGCTATTCTCATTTATAAAAATATAATTCCATTATTCTCTAACTTTCATACAATAAAACAGTATTATTTCCAAATTCAAAACTTTGAATATAAAATAAGGAAAATGTTTTTCTTTGAATCATGCAACTACTCTTAGAATAACAATAACGAAATTAGAAAAAGATATACAAGGAATTGAAATCTAATGGGCTGCTAAACGTATCTAAAGAAGTTAGTTCAACATTTGTGGAAGAGAACGCACGTTGTTTGGTACACTGGACGACAACGATGTTATCAAGTATAATAAATTAATATCTTAGTTACAGAATTCAAACCAGGAAACGCTTAAAATATTAAGAGAACAAAGCCATTTTACACAAATAGTTTTATCCAACTTTAATTATACAATTAACAAAGTTAAAACTAATAAGAAAACATTTCAAGACAAATTGCTAACAAAAGATAAACTATTAAAAAGTAATACAAATGAGATTTATGAAAATAGAATAGTACTTCATATGATTAATGTGATTACCTCGCTCATTGAGATTACAAATCTAGTTCGAAAAGAAGTATCTAATATTTTGAAATCTCTTTCCTATGCAAAAGTAGGAATATTACATCCATCCCTTCTTGATCATGACCAGTTAAAAGTTGAACTGAATAAAATTGAAAACTGTGACGCCATCTTACCATTTACCATTAATGATACCAATATTTTTAAATACCACTTAGTTCTCAAACCAAAACTTCATTAAAAAACCAAGGCCTATTAGTTTCATTGAACGTACCGCTTGTCAAACCGCAAAAGTTTGTTTTTTGTTTCCCTACCCAACATCATATCGTCGTCAATTCTTTTTTCACATTTTAATATCATCAATTTCTTATCTGGCGCTATCAGACGCCAAACACCGGTTCCTTCGCATCTATCCATGACCTACTTCAAGTAGAAGATATCTGAATTCTAAAAAACATGGAGCCTCAAGATCTTCAACACAGCAATGAGTATACGCGTTATTTCTCTGACGGTCTTTGTATTGCTACGAAAATCAAAAAAATTAAGAAACAGACTTTAAATTTAACTTTACAATGAACCGAAATTCCTGTGGACCGTTGTGATGAAAAACGCGAGAAACTTGAATTATCAAAACTTCAATCTCTTAAGCTAAATTAATTATAACAAGAAAACATTAACATTGCTGCCGCGAAATTAAACGATTTTCGAAATAAAATTGAAAGAAACTTCTCCCAAATATACGAGAATTACTGGTTTACAGTTGCTGGCCTCCTGCTAACAACAATAGTAATGTAGCGGTCGCGCTACTTACCCTCGAGCCAAATTATATTTAAGGAATTTGTAGTTCGTTGAAATTGTAAATAGAATATTTAATCTTCTGCGTCTTTCTCCCGCCGAATTTATCACAAAACTTCGAAAGCCTTCGACTACTTGCACTTCCAAGGGTAGCGAAGCGGCCGAAGGGTAATAAATAGTTTTCTAGCAAAATGCGTTTTAGCAGAGATAACTTTCCAATTTTTATTACATTCATCCGGTTCTTTTTGGTCGTCTCATACCGGAGGGACAGAGACGCGCAGGGGGTTAACTTGGAGTATAATTTTTTAGATGTAAGTTTTACTTGGTGCTAGACCGTCCATGCGACCAGTTCTGTAAATATACGTTCAAAAGACTTTGCCGCCCTTTTATTTTGCTACTGGCCCAGATCATTTTTATTCACGCTGCGCTACGACCTCGAAAGTAATTTTATTCATCCTGTACTGCTGCTGCCCAAATTTTATCTGCAAATCAACCTGTTGCTGTCGTTTGGAAAATAATTTTTCATTTTAAACGGGAGTTGTTATATCTGTAATAAGATACATCTTCACGTTATGTTCCATATTCAATGTAATAAGACACTTGTTTAATTCTTGCAATTCTTAGCTTTAGTTCTCATGCTGAATAACACATATTGTAACAAATGTATTATTTATTTTTCCTGTAACTAACACTCTAGCATCAGACTAGACCTAGTGTGCACGTTTTTACACTCTATATATATGTTAAAATAAATTGTGTTCTTTTTGAAAAACACTTAAATTAATTGGATACAATTGCGATACATTAGCGAAAAAATCACTGGAACATAAACGGTCTAAAGAAGAGATACTAGAAATGTAGGAGGGAAAGCGCTAGAATTATATTACGGAAGAAACAAAGGGAAATGGACGAAATGTTGAAATCAACAATCCAAAACAACTGGACCAAAAAGACAGAACTATCCAACGACGATGATAAACATAAAAATGTACATACCCAAATACCCAACAAGGATTCAAAAAATCATCAAAGCATGACTTGCAAATCGTTCATTCAGGGTTAAAATAAAAAGCGAAAAATCAATACTAAAGCAAGCAAAAAAATTGACTAAAGGATCGCTCCTGTCCTCAACACTTTTCAATATATGCCTCAACGACATCCCAAAATGCGAAAGAGAAAATGTCTCACATATTCCAGTTTGCAAGTGATACAGCACTTCTAACTGTAAGGAAAACTACGAAAGCACAAAACACAAGATGGAAAACAATTTCCTAAAAATCTCAAAGTACGCAAAAAAATGGAAAATAAAATTAAATGAATGTAAAACAAAATGCATATGCTTCCAAAACAAAAGACCACACAGAAACTGCTTCAATTTCAACTCTGAACACATAAAAATGAAGGTTAACCCATATAAAAAAACGAGTAGCCTAGGTACATCAACGAAGCGAGATTCTATATGCAATTAGAAAACACCACAGCAAATTAAACACCAAAAATCGAAAAAGGATAATCACAACCATTTTACTACTAACAGCATCCTATAATAACGGGTCTAAATAAACGGAACAGAAGAAGCAAAGATACGAGCTACCACCACCTTCCATCAAATAATAAGGAAAGTTTGAGATGTTGTAAGCAGTCAACATCCTTCTCAAATTTTATTCTCGGAATTGCTGCATTACCGGTCTTTCTCGGTCCCTGTCCACAACAAGCCTAATTACTATTTTTTATCTATTTGTCACTGTTTTTCATCCTTTTTTGAGTGTTCTATTTTCTATTTTACTATTTTTCATCCTACAATCACCGTTCTTGTTTCTAACTGTAGTTTTTTTATGCATGATTTATCTGTTTTCGTCAACTGTTTTTCAGTTTTCCACCGCGAAATTAACTTTTTAGACAACTTCGTTTTTATCGTTACCTTCACCCTTCTCTATCTATCCAACTCCCAACCCCTCTTTTTTTCCAAATCTTGCTTGTATAAATAACCAATGCTTTCCTCAGTACCAGCGGTACTCTTCGACTGATCTTCGACCTGAGCGAACGTGTCCAGAGCAGAGAGAAGAACAACGGCAGAGAACTCCCTATCCACAGCCGATAGAAAAACACAATTTTTCTTAAGATTAATTCTTACCAAAATCATTTCAGCGACGGAGGACAGCCCTAAGCGACCGACGGAGATGGAGGAAGCGGCTGCTTGCAGCTCGCGTACTCCAACCGAGGTAGGAAGCTTCCAGCATCCTACCAAGAAACTACGTGTGACAAGTGTCAGGGTGAAGACACCGCCACCGACACCGACGAGCAACACCTTCGAAGGATTGCCAGTCGACGTCAAAATGTCCAGTGATACTGTTAGCGACGCAAAATCGATCGTCGTTGCCAAAGCGACAGCGTGTACCACCAGTCGTCATTCGGGAGAAGCACCGATGGACAACAGTAGCAGGCTTGTTGGCGAGAAACAACATAAAATTCCTGAAGGCCAGGAATATAGCAGACGGGATAAGCGTCCATCCCGAAACCGCAATGGGCTACAAGAGCGTACTTGCTCCAAGAGGACAAGCCGCTGAAGGTGGTACTTCGCGGTATCCCGACAGACATCCAGACTGCGGATGTCTCAGAAGACTTGAAGGCGCAGGGCTTCAACGTTGAAAACGTCGTCAGGATGACTAGCGCTAAGACGAAGACACCTATACCGCTCGTCTTGGTCATCCTACCTAAAGACGATAAAAGTAAAGAAATCCTTAATCTAACAACAGTTTGTTTTCTTACGATTTCAGTAGAGACGCCACGACAAAGGACCACCATCGGCCAGTGTCACCGATGTCAACGCTTCGGGCATGCTCAGAGAAACTGCACGGCAACCGCCCGCTGTGTAAAGTGCAGACAGAAACATCACACCTCGACCTGCGAGAAGCCGAGGAACCAGCCGGCCAAGTGTGCGAACTGTGGAGGAGAACACCCGGCGAGCTACCGCGGTTGCCCGCAATTTTCCGAGCTTCCCCGACCCAGAGCGAGGACCACGCCGGACTCCCGGACAGCTTCCAACTCAACAGCCAGCGCAGTTCGCCAAGGAGTGTCGTTCGCCAGGGCAACAGCGCCAAGGTCAACGCCTTCCACACCGACCGCTTCTCAGGCAGCACCGGGTCCCGCCCCAGCCGCCCAGACCGACACACTTACTAGTATCATTCAGATGCTAGCCAGGTTCGACCTTCAGAAAGTGACTACTGTCGCTCAGAAGGTCGCCAACTCTTCGACTGATCTTCGACCTGAGCGGACGCATCAAGCAGAAACCACAGCGAGAAGAACATCAGGGAGCGCAGCTACCAGTTTGATAGCTTTCCAGTCGTTTTCAAGACTAATTCTACAAAATCGAGAAGGAGCAACGGACGACATCACAGGAGGAAGCAGAAAAGCGATGGACGAAGCGGCTGCTTGCAGCTCGCGAACCCCTTCCGGTGGGACGGAGGAAACCGAGTTTCGTCTACCATCCAAGCGCCACAGGGTTACCGACCTGAGGGTGAAGACCCCGCCACCGACCGAGACCAAGAACTACTACAAGCCATTGCCTTCGGAAATGGACCTGTCGGACACAGGAAAGTGGACCAGCCTGTGCAACGAAATGAGAGCCAGAAGCCTCAACTTCACGAAGGCGAAAAACATGACGACACGCATCAGCATCCAACCAGCTGATAAAAAGGACTACCACGGTATCATGAATTTATTGAACGAACAGAAGACTGAATACCATACCTTTCTTTTGCAGGAAGAAAAAACCGCTGAAGGTGGTAATACGCGGCATTCCAGTCGACATCTCGACAGACGAGGTTATGGACGACCTGAAGGAGAAGGGTCTCACAGTCAAAAACGTCGTGAGGATGACGTCAGCAAAAACAAAGGCCCAGATACCGCTCGTCCTAGCGATACTGTCGAAAGACAGTAACGCCAAGGACATCTTTAAGGTAACAACCGTATGTTTCCTTAAAGTTGCAGGTGAATCGCCAAGACAAAGGACCACCATCGGGCAGTGCCACTGCTGCCAACGTTTCGGCCACGCTCAGCGCCGCTGCACGGCCAAGCCACGCTGTGTCAAGTGCGGAGATGGTCACCTAACCATGGACTGCAAAAAGCCTATGGAACGACCGGCAACGTGTGCCAACTGCAACGGAGCTCACCCAGCGAGCTATCGGGGGTGCTCGAGCTCACCCGACCACGACCAAGGCCAACGAAAGCTCCGAAACACAGCAGCGCCTCCAGCGAACGCCGTTCGTCAAGGTGTGACCTTCGCCAGGGCCGTGGCACCGAAGCCGACCGATTCCTTACCTTCAGCCGCACCGCCCGCTTCCCGGAAAACTCCAGCCGCCCCCCAGGCAGCGCCATCGGATACGCTCTCCAGCATCCTTCAGATGCTAGCCAAGCTGGACCTTCAAAAGGTGGCTACCGTCGCCCAGAAGGTCGCGAACGCCCTAACCGGTGCAACCGGCACAGCGGACATCCTAGCACGCCTGCTAGGTTGCGCACAGGACATCGTATCACTTTTTAACTAGGTAAGTTAATGGGAATACAGAAAACTAATCCGTGCTCTTTACAGGTGCTTCTCTGGAACGCACGCGGCCTCCGGGATAAACGTTTAGAGCTACTTGAGCTAGCGGAAAAGCTCTCAATAGACGTTGTTCTCATTAACGAAACCCACCTACGGGAAGGTATAACTGCGAAGTTACCAAACTACGCTTTATACCGGACCGACCGAGAGAACAGGTTAGGTGGTGGTACAGCCGTGTATGTTAAGCTCTCGCTCGAACACTATCCCGTTGCCGTTGTGTCTACAGAACAAATAGAAACGACAGCTGTCGAAGTCGTGACGACAAGAGGCCCTCTACGTCTCATAGCAGCATACCGACCGCCCGACCGCCCAATCACATCGCAGGACCTGGACGACATCTTGCACTCTGAAGTAGCAACGATAGCCGCCGGCGACTTCAATTCCAAACACCCAGCTTGGAACAGCCGCCGAACAAACGCAAGCGGCACGGTCCTGTACAACTATGCACAAACCAGGAACGTAGTAGTAGTCGGACCAGACGAACCTACATACCACGCAGTAAATGGTGCATCGCTGCCAGACGTTTTGGACATCGCCATCTTCAAGGACGTCGCACAAGACTTCACGCTGTCGGCGGTAAGTGAGCTTTCCTCAGACCACAACCCGGT